GAGACTGGGGGATAAAATATATCATGAAGAATTGAGGAAACAAGGTATGTCTAGTCTAACAAAGAGAAGGACTAGGGGTGACAGTCTTCCAGGGGCTACCATAGAGAAACAGAGGGTCAATCTATTGTCCAAAGCAGCTGAGGACAGGACAAGAAGCAACGGATGGAAACTAATCAAGGAGAAATCCAATCTAGAAGGAAAAATTTCCTGACCGTGAGAACAATTAACAGCTTACCACCAGAAGTTGTGGATATTCCATCCCTGGAGGTTTTGCAAAAATAGACTGGACAACCACTTGACTGGAATGGTGTAAGATCTCCTGATTTGAGCTGAACTAAAAGACCTCCAAATTTCTCCCAATTCTGCAATTCTGTTGATCAACCAGAGCTATCAGGCTTGGTATGGACTGACCTCTACTTGCCCAGGTCACACCTCCCGGGCCCAAGCGCCTTGGGTTCTGACCACCCCAGGATAGGGGAGGCTATCCCAGAGGGCTGTGACTTACACAGATTCCATGTCCAAACTATCGTCTTCCTGAGAAAGCTGCAGATAAGGGTTGTCGGAGGCCGGCCTGAACTTATAGCCAGTGAGGACAAAGAAGACCAGGGTTGCCATTTCGTGCAGCAGCTGCAACGACAGACAGACAGACAGACAGAGAGAGATGCGATCGTTAAGTCCCTGATTTTGGTGCCGTTTTTATTAAACGATCACAAAATGAATTGCCGTAAAAAAAAAATTTTTTGACCTGTTTTGCAAAGCTATTAATTGTTGCAATAGATCCACCGTAGCTAAATGTCTACGGAGGCTAAAAGGGATATAGGAGGAAGGGGCAACCTACCTGGTAAAGCCACTTCCACTGGAATGGAACTGCAATCTTGATGAGGATGGCGATGATGCGGGTGAAGTAAATGTAACAGACGATCTGGAGGGGGTGGAGGGAATAGTTAGTTAGTTCCAGAAGAGGAGATGTGTCCTCAGACAGCGGCACAGGAGAGAACAGACTCTGGTTTTCATTTAAAGGAGGAATCTGGGTTGCTCCAAAAAAGGGGGATACCCCGCCCTCCACCTCCTATCCCACGCTCCCCCCCCTCCCATAACTCCTTACCATGACATAATAGTGTCTGAAGAGCTTCAATTTCGCTAAGTTAATGGCAGCTGCTGGAAAAAAATACACAAATAAGGGGGATCAAGAGGCAGATGAGGATTGCCTGCATGGTTATCAAATGGGCACTGGAGCAAGGCGAGGCAGCAAAAACTTTGCACCCTATGCACTCAGGGCTGATGGCCTTAGCTGCCTCGCTTTACCTGGCATCTCGGTTTGAAATCCAAGGCTTTGTTGTGCATCTATAAATAACCTTGGTTTCTCTCCCAGGTCTCGGAGAGCTGGAAGAATGGATTTTGGCTCACGTTTACCTTTTTTTTTCCTCCTGAGAAATCCACACCTGGATAGTTTCAAGGGCGAAGGTGGCGGAGTCTCTGGGACTCGGCTGGGTGACAAGAGAGGCAGCCAACATCTCTTGGCCATCAAGGTCAAGAAAGCAACCAGAAAAAGCGAAGGAATCCCAGCGGCTCCTTGAAGAAGCACCTTTGGGACAAGCCTGACTTGGGAAGGCTGAGAATATCCACGGGGTCAGGGCTCCGGCAGTTACCCCCATTTAAATCATGAGTCTCAAGCCCAACTTCCAAAACTTAAAAGATTTATTAGGAGTAAACATGCCAGCATTGCCTAGGCGTAGCCGACTCTGAGGCACATCATTCATTGTCACCCTGGACCCTGGTTTTCCCCTCACCCCCTGGGTGTTTCTTAATTCATATTCTCCAATGGGACACATCCATAGCCCAGAGTCATCAATCATGCTGTCCAGTTAGAATTTTGCACGGCAGAAACTTCAGTCACCTAGAAACTATCTTTGAAAAACATTTATGGAATGC